CCACTATCTTTCATTTCGAATGAACTATGTCTCTTTTGCGTCAGGTGGGTTATGTTTAATCTATCCACTGTTGTCGATCTCATAGGAAAGTAAGTTTCTCTTGTGCGGGGAAACTCAACATGAATTATGCCACCTCTGTAAAACAATAGAGAAAGGAGTCATAAACTTATCAAACATAGTCCGATATTTATTTGATGTAGCTATATTCTGAAGTGAAAATTGCTTGGTAAACTCTTCGAAATATCTTGGAAGGCCTTGGGCGGTTCCGAAGTAATGTATACCTAGGTCGGTAAATCAAAAATATTTACAATTTCATCATATTGATTGCAACGGATCAGGATTGGGTTTAGCGTGTCGCTTAAAAATTGCGCTAAGCCCAATGCAATCCCCGAGGCATCGGGTGCAAACAGACCTCAAAGGTCTTCCTAAGACACTGAATGTCTAGATAATATCTTTATATGAATATCTTTATTTATAGATCTCTAGATGATAGAGGACCTGCACACACTACGATTGTCTATAAAAAATGATAGGTACCAAAATTTCCATCTATGTTCCCAGAAAGAATTCATTTTATCAGAATGAAATTAATGTTTGTTTAAATCAGCGAGAAATGAATGAAGCGTCTCTAACTTGTCTTATTTACTCTATACAATTTCCAAGACCATGGATGATAGATTTTTACCTCACCTTGGTGCGGAAATCCGCTCTCATACCCTCACACAAATCATTCTTGTTCACATGACATTACACCAGCGTATGGCGGTTGTCTAAAGCTCACTAGCCCATGCAAATGAGCTTACCCAATCTGTAGTGAACCTCAAATACATTAAATTCAGTCCTTTATTATTGTGATAGTCGCAAGATTCCAATTGATGAAGACCACAGTCCACAAGAGGTACTCAGGATCATCTCTCACGACTCGGAATTCTGAGCATCCACTGATTCGCAACATCCCCCGGACAGCATTGGCTATTGGAAAGACCTCGTCTTCGATCTTTGGTTTAATGGCCACAATATTGCAAAAGGGAAGCCTCGCAACACAGCCGTGATTCAAAAAGGACACCAATTCACTAGCAAGACCTATAATGTCAAACTCCATGAGATAATCATTATCTTGAACGACTTTCTCGGAGCGCTGATTGAATAGTCTGGATTTGTCCTCCATTCCTTGCCCGACCCTAATTAAGAGCACGAGATCAAGTTTCAGAAGGGGTTATAATAATCGCAAATTTAGATTTCCTTGAGTACGATGTTGAATATAGTACTAATCAACTACTATCAGCCGAAATTCAATTTCATATTAAAAATCGATATTTTGCTACATTTTTAAAATGAAAAATCTTTATAATCTATAGATCGAATTGTTTCAAAATTTATTTTTGTAAATCTTTTATAATAATAATTGATATTTTTAATATCTTAATATTCTCAGAAATTTATATTATAGAAGTTTATAGAATTGAATTAAATTATCAAAAAAGTTACTTGATTTTCACTTATTTTACTAATAAATCTAATCATTTTGTAAATATTCTAACTTTCAATTTCTATAATATAATTCAAAAAAAAAAAATTTCATCTTATTTTCCTTAAATTTTAATCAAAAATGAATCAAAAAATAATAAACAAATGTTATATTATATTAATAATAATAATAATAATAAGAAATTTTAGGATTATAAATAGTGAGTTTTGATACAAAATACGATTTGACTAATAGTAGTTAATACTTACTATACTTTAACGACTCCTCTTTTATTACGTAGTTATTAAGAAATTATCAATATCTTAATAGTATTATTAATTTGAAAGCGATCTTTTAAATAGACTAGCTAGCGAATCATTCAATAAGTCAATACAATTATTATAATAATATTATAATTATATTAAATTTCTAGATACATGTTTTAAGTATGACTCTCTATAGGGAATAAGATGAGAAGCATAGGGTAGAAAGTGATGACATTAGGAGGACTAGTATACTAAGTAGGTATATACTACAACTTCTAAGGGGAAGAGCTCTGTATAAGATAACAGAGTAAATACTACAGCTCCCTCTAGCGTGGTTTTACTAGCTTTCTAGCATCTTAAATAACTTCAACTTTTCATAGAATATAATCAAGCTTTTCACCCTCTTCAAAACGTATTTAGCCTCTTTTCTATATAGGACAGAGCTCTTACTAGTACTAATCGGGGCTAGCTCCCCCTACTCTACGATTACGTAAATCATACCTTTCAACAATATATTATATATATTCTTTATTCGATATAGTTATATTAATTCTTTCTTTTTATATATTTATTCTATTACTTTTTATTTTGATATTCCTTTTATAAAAAAAATCAATAATAGAAATTGTTTTAATAAGAAATTTTTTTTTCATAATATGTTTTTTTAATCATACAATTTTTTTATTAATAGGTTCTTTTTTTTTCATAATAGATTCTTTTTTACTTAGAAATTTTAATCTATTTATAATAATAGTAAGTTGATTGAAATATATATAGTACTAGGGCACTTCTACTTAGTCAATAATCATTTTACACTAAAACTTATTATTTAAATATATCTAGCTTTAATAAAAATGATATAATTATTATAATAATATTTGCATTTCTATATTCATTTCTATATTCATTTCTATATTTATTTCTATATTCATTTCCATATTCATTTCTATATTCATTTCTAAATACTATTTATAAAAATTATTTGAATTATTTTTAAAAAATTCATTTATTGAAAAATATTGATTGAAAGTTTCAAGATCTTGGATTATAAAGATTTACAACAAAAATAAGCGAATTTTCCAGAACTTTTTGATATTAAGATTTCAAAGATATATATTATATTTGTAATGATTTTAAAAAAGATTGAATTTTATATTTAATTTTATTGACTTATAAATTATTGATTATTTAAATTATAACATAACAAAATTATTCAAAAGAATAATAATCTATTTATAAAAAAAATAAAATGCCTTTTTTTAATGTGTTTTTGAGATCGACCAAATAGAAGTGCACGGTTACTGTATATAGAGACTTGTAATTTTCGGTAAAAGTTTACGGGATTGTCATCGAGACAAGGAGAGAAACAGCAAAACGTGAGATGGGTCTTGTTATTTTGAAATCAGAAATCGATTCATTTATACTAAATCTGGAAAAATAACTTGACCTGCTTCGCTGGAACCATTATCATTGTGATTGAATCACATATTCATGACTGTTTGAGCGAGACTGGTGAAGACTTCTTCTTGGCCGCTCATGTTCTGTATGTCTAAGTCACCTATCATGACGGAATATCTTGAAATAGAGTTCCCGGTGTCTTGAGCTAACTCAGATGCAGAAGAACACCCTTATCCAAGACATGGTGTTAGTCCAAGCATGTCATATCTCGATCATCTGAGCATACCTGTTTAATCAAGAGGCGCCTCTGGTACCTACATCCCAGTTTTGCAATGGTTCTTGCATTGGTAAGGCTTTTGAGCCCGTAAACAGTGTCATGAATGGAATTTTACCCACTGGATCTCGGGAGATACCACCAAGATGTTTCGATGCGAGGTCAGTCTACCAAGAAATGGAAAAGAAATGCCGTAACTTCCGCAACAATATGCATTGAAGTCGTCTAAACTTTCTTACATGTTCTTGCGATATCCATGCTGCTCTATGCCACATAGATGGACGATCGTATGCTTTACTGAGATGGTATTGAGGGAAACACCTGATCTGATGGCTAGAGTATTTTAGCATGTCGGGTACAGTATAAAACACTTTCGTGTATAGGAAACAATGTGTTTTATAGTTTCGCATGCCAAACAACTCTTGAATTGGGATTTATAGAATCAGTAAGGGACAACAAAAAGAGTCCTTAACAAAGAAATTTTCTTCTTGTGAGACATGCATCGTCTCTATCACAAAAGAATCTCACGAAGATCTGCGTCTTGCCTGAGGTTATCTTTGTATAAGCTGGGAAAGGAGTTTTATATAAAGAAGATCTCCGTCTGCTTCTAAGAGCAAGGGGATCGAGTAAGATCTGTATGAATCAAAATGTCTGAGTTTGTCCAAGGTATGCGTGCTAGTGGGGACTCTAATTATCCAAGTCAATAATATGCAAAGTCTCAGCAATAGTGTAAGCCGCGATGATCTAGAAGAAGACCAAGCCAAGTTCGTTGGTCATTACTAGATAATTGTTTATATACTTTCAGGGTAAAGGGTCATCGTTCATTGTCCGTTTATTGCCGAGGTGGAGGGTTATTGTCGGGATATCGATCATGTGATCTAAAAGAGGGCACAGTATTGCACTAGCGTATGTACTAGCGTATGCACTAGCGCTAGCACTTCTACTATATTAAATACTAGCTTCCCATAGCTAATAATGATCAAGAACAAATACAACCACAATAGACGAAAGTACTTAACACTTATCAACCAAGTTGATACCAACAGTTATTGATACATCGGTGCTGAAGCACTGCTGAAAACGACACCTGTCGTAGAGATGACTAAATTCTTTGAGTATCCACCCGACCAATTTGCGAAAGGTTGCGAGTGTTGTGATTAAGCTAGAGGTATCAGTGGTTACACGGAAAATATGTTGAGCAGATATTTCTATGCCAAATGAAAGGAGAGGAGATGGTTGCATATTTCGAAATTCTCAATATACTCAATTATTTTTACCAGTGGTTGAAGTGCTGTTGCAAAGTTAAAAATAATGGATTCTATTTCTATGACAACTTCAATTCACATATATATGACACATTCAAAGGGGAAACGTTGAATTTATTAACTAGTATTTATTTTTGTATTAGAAATCTAGTAAAAAGAGAGAGGAGTATTGTGAAAAGAAAACAACTACTACTAAAAACCCGAGTGCTCGTTTAGCAGAAGAAGTTTCCATTGCACACAATCAACCACCACCAGAAAGAATCAGCTACTATCGAAAAGGAAAGGAACAGTTATCATAATCTCGCATCTACCGCAGGAACCAAAGCAAACTACCTTCTAACCAGACGCCCATTGGAAAATCCATCGCCATATTGTCTATACACCTGCTCCCGGCGACTTCTCTGGAGATCTGTTTGGTGGGCTTGCATGGTGTGGTATTCATCCCTACCAATGGTATGAACATAAGGATGTGGCCAATTGTGAATTTTCTCACCATCCACAGCGATAACTCTACCATCTTGACTAAGCATAGAATATGTGTCTCTCCAGATAGAGGTGTGGATCATGTCTTTGAAAATGAGAGAATCCGCGAGAATTATCAATCCAGACTTCATGCGACTAAGGCCAACATTGAATCTTCGCGCATCAGCAATGAAATCAAAAATGTGTAGATGAGAGTTCTTGACATCTGTGGGATTTGCTGGTCTACGTTGAGATGCAGAACAGACTGTATCGAAGATAACCACCTTGGCCTCCATACCTTGGAAAGAGTCAGTGGTGGAGACAGGAAATTTTCTGCCCGCAAATTCTATGGCCGTGAGCAAAAGGGACACCTGGTGCTTGTAGGGAGTGATGATCAGGCAATCTTCATCAAGTAGTCCGGGGATGTTTGTCACCATATCAACACACAGCTTGATAGCATAATTGGCGGTATATGTGTTGCCACGACTGGTACCAAAGGTTTGCTTGTGACTGAATGTGTTTCGAATGTCGACAAAGACCGGAAGAACTTCTCCCGATGGGCTGAGGGTGAGATGGTAAGGATGCATGTCGCCGCGAAGGTGTTGAACCACAAATCTCTCGAAGCTGCGACCCAAGGCTGTCAATTTTAATCCGTGATAATCACTAACAAGACCCTTGTATACTAATTTGGATGTTATCTTGCTCAAACCGGGTTCTGTGCGCAGTTGTTCGTCGAGGAACAAACATGGCCAGCCATTGGCCTGAAGATTGTGTAATAGTGTATATCCGATCTGATCCGAGAAGGTGTTGACACGTCTATGAGGAGGCTCCGTGTATGTCATAGCGTGGGTTCCGACGTAGGGTGAGAATTGTTTTGTATCACCAACTAGGATTATACGGATGAAGGGGTTAATATGTAGTAGGACTTCAAGGAGAGGAACACAACCAGCTTCATCGATGATGAGAAGCTCGAAAACTGCCCGGAACCACGCCAGCCAAGGAGTTAGTGCGGCGATGGTAGTTGCAGAGACCGTGATGCAGTGTGTTAAGATATCAACAGCGCAAGCTGTGGCAAGGACGTTGAACTTCTCCTGTGCATCTGAAAGCTCAGCCGTGTGTCTCTCTTCCCCACTATTGTGATACTCATTGAGGACGATTAAAGCGTCCTTGAGTTGGATATGTCTGGGCATGAGTCTCTCTAATACACGGTTGCCTTGACACGAGAGGACACCAATGACTTGAAGCATTCTATGTGCCAGGGATCCCTCGAAGTTGTAAACCTTTGTTGGGGTGCCTAAGTTATCGGGATGTGTCATTGGCTTCGTACAGTCGTAAGTGCGGAACTTCGTCAACTCCATGTTTTGCGTATGAAGGCGAACGTGAAGGTATTCGGGGCTGTCCAATCTGCTCGCCATACGCTTATAGATATTGGTGGTGGCAACATTGGTAGTACTAACGATTAGAGTCTTCTTATTGGCAAGGATGGCACAATGGACAAAGGAGATAGTCATGGTGGTTTTTCCTGTTCCAGCTGGACCAATTATTGGTAAAATCGCCATAGGAACGTGTCTGGAAAACTTCTTCAATTTAATGGTCTGTCTCTCCGTTGCATCCTTGAATACGAGATCGAATTGTTCGCTGGGTAAGTCAAACACCATATCTTGCAAGAAGAAGTCGTTAGAATCGAGCACACCATGTCCCAAGAGAACCTGACGAAGAGCGTTACGATTGCCGATTCTGTTCGAAGGTTTGTGACCATAGCCCAGTTGATTCATTACAATCTGCCCAAATGATAGCTCATCAGCGTTGTTGTCTTCTTCAGAAGGGGCAGATGCATCGTTTTTCGGGTCCCATTCATTTAAAGCACGAACTCTGGCTTTGACAGAAGTTTCTGGTTCAACAACTCGAAGGTATATCTCAACGAAAGGCTGTTTAGGCTTCAAGGTACCGTTTGGGGCCACATCTGCGGGGATATACTTATCATCGTCTTCATTTTGATGAAAGGTGCGGGTACAAGTCAATAGGATACCACCATCATGGCGAATCAGATTTGTGGGTTCGACAAATGCCTGCCAGCCTTGAGTGTCACCCTTTGGCTTGCGTTCATCGATGGAGCGTGGGCGGAAATGTACGAACACTTCAGATTCGACTGATAAGATATTGCCACGTGGGGTTTTGAGTTTTGGTAAGACCACAGAGATCGCGAAGTTGTCTGTCGAGTTCGAGTTCTGAAACCATCTCGATGGAATGCCAGTGTCACGCAGCTCCTCACAAAACTGGTTGATCCAAAGATGTTCTTGTGCGGCTGCATAGAAATTACGTACCAAGAAATTGTTCCAGTGATCGAAATTAGGGGTCGGTGGGTAGTAGTCTGGATATGGAAACATTGCACTTTGATCGTTCTGCTTCTTCAGAATTTGGGCTACATTCCATTGTACCTTGGGCTGACCATCTGGCAGACCATTCTGCGCATACTGCTTGAAGCCTGGATGTTGACCAAATTTCGCAAACATCTGAGCGGTCACATCGAAATACTGGAGCCAAAATGGGGTGAATGTGGTAATATACTCAAACTCGCCTTGTTCCTTCCACAGGTGGATCTGATCATGTAAAAGCTTGGAAGCATCACTCTGATCAATGAATGCACCATTATTCAAGCCAGTTACAGAGAAACCTCCAGATTTGAGAAGGAATTTGACGGAGAGAAGCGGTCCATCGGGCAGTGTGGAAGTGGTAAGTGATTGGACTTCATCTTTGGCTGTTCCATCGATTACCTTGTAAGATAGAGTGAACTTGTCAGCATAGAAGCGAAACTCGATGTATTGCTCGTCGGGACAGTCGTCTAGATAGGTGAATCCATCATCGACTCGGCGTTGCAGAACAAAACGGATACCTTGGTAGGGAGCTTCATTTAGAGGGTTACATCTCAAAATGTTAATGCGAGGTGATTTTCCCAAGTCAGGTTTTTTTCCAATGGTACCGAAATATCTATTTTGGTGGTTGTCGAGGGAACGGAAAAGACCAAAAACTCTTTCAATGTCCGACTTAGAACTCTGCATCTCAAATTTGGAGGGGTATGCGTCATCGTAATTGGTACAATGCGGGTCTGAATTAGTGTTTACGACAATGTAGTTGACGGCAGACTTGATTTTGTTGATGCGTGAGGCGAGCTTAGCCTCGAGAACTGCCTTTTCAGTTCGAGCTTCTCTGGCTTTCTTTGGATCGAAAGACATGTTTTAAGCAGAAAACGACACGAGGATACTCCTCGCACCGGGTTGGGAAAAGGGAAAAAGAACACGACGAAAGACACGACGAAAGAGTCGACTTGTGTAACTGTCCCAAAAATAAATTAGAAAGGTATGAATCATAAAGTGGAAAGTGATTGAAGGGGTGGTAAACTTACTGGTGACGGTTGTCAAGTTGGAGGTTGTGGATTTGTCTGAGGAGGAGAAAATATATTAGTGAGTGTCAAAATGAAGGAATGAGAGAGAGGAATGAAGACAATAGATCGATGAAGGAGACAAATGAATGGACGCGATGGATAGATCGGTGAAGTTGGAAGATCGAAGAAGGGGAGAGATGAATGAATGCAATAGATAGATCGGTAAAGTTGGAAGATCGAAGAGGGTGGGAAATGAAAGGGTTTGAAATACTAACTCTTATGAAATGGAAACTTGTTGTTGAGATTATTGAGGATTAGGAAAGAAGAGAAAATTCGAGGAGAGAAGAGGTCTGTATACCTAGCTGAACGAGGTGGCCCATGCTTAGGTCCAATCGAGGCCAGTTGCTGCAATTAGAGCAAACATGGCCACAATTGGAATAGCGTGGTAATCTGTGGTTGTAGTTGATGGATGTTCTATTGTTGTTTGATATTTGCCCAAAAGTGAGTATCAAAATGAAGAACGGCTGGCAAAAATGAGGAAGAGTGGGTTCAATTGGCTTAAGCGACCAACATGATACTAGGTACCCAGTCACAAAAAGTCCCCACTTTTGTGTGAACGAGTTTGTGATTTTTATCTTTGCTGTGATGGTGGTTTGTAAGATAAAAATAATGGATTGAGGTGGTATACTTAATGCATGAACATGATGCTAGCCATTAACATGATACTGTAGCTATCAGCAATTGCAAAAAGATACAACTTCAGCTGAGGCGTGGTACGAGTATCACACGGTTTTTACAGTTGATCAAGTTGCAAGACTTTACTGTATCCCTTTGTTGTAGTATGCGTAGTCAAATACTATATGCAATTCTAGTAATCCCGTCAATTCATTATAATAAGCTTGAAGAGAGAAGGTATTGTATTTGTTTCGATGTATTGAAAGTATTGAAATTAAATGTTCTACCGAAAATACAAAAGAAATTTTTGTGAACCAAGCGACGAACTTTAACGCCCACATGATCCCTAAAGATACCCTACTGTTGCTTTCATCACCCATATCTCTACACATATGATTCTCCCCATTCATATCATTCATATTTCCACCTAGTTCGTGGCCTTCTCAGGTTCTCCCTTCACATTCCCCAATAAGACGATGGGTGGCCAGCTCCTCCTACAACATCCAACTATTGATCTTCCATGGATTACCTAGGTACCTGCACATTTTAATAGGAAGATACAAAGAGTGAACCCAAAAATTTTGCTCTACTTGGCACAAGTTCGCCGTGGTAGGAACATGCGTGAGCATTTGATTGGTAAATCGATTGAGGGCGAACATGGCAAGCCTCGAAGTCGACCTGAAGGTGACATACCACACTTCTTACATACTACGCCGCACAACTAAAATGTCACATCAAAAAATTCGGAATCTGCCAATTCTGTGCACAGGTTGAGAATGATGATGTATGTCTTGAAAAACTAGTCTAGATATAAGATGAGTATGACTCTGGCCCAAGAACAACTAACTGCAAATATTGATGATATTCATCGATCCCATCCGTCAACTTCGTATCTAAATTCGCCTCGCCACGCCACACTATAAAAGAAAGAAAAAATATCAAACTATATACAAGATAGAACCATCCCCCATCAAATGTGCAACCTGTATCAAGACTGCAGGTCCTTGTTCCTTAAGCAATATGCTTCGAAATTCTTCGCATCCCCTATGATTGGATGAATTGCCTTCTTGATGTAATGACCTCTACTCGATTGTCGTCTATGACCGAACGCTCTGCGAACTGGCACGCTTGATAGTGATACCTGAGAGGCCAATTTAGCGTTTTGAATCATGAAGCGTTTTGACCACTCGTGAGTTGGGCCCTTCTTCCACCATAGATCCAAACCCTTATCACAATCACGGACTAGATTCTTCACTCCAGTGTCCCTGAACTTGCCAAGAACCTCGCGCAATTTTTGAAGTACTCTTTCCCGCTTGACTTTTTGTTGTTTTCAATACTTCCATTGTGCAGAACGGCAAAACAAGAACAGTGCTTGCGGCCATTCCCTCATGCAATCATCTGACGGAAGGTCCTTTGCAATTGCCTGGCTATTGACAACTGTGTAAAGGGAAGAAAACAGAAGGAGCACGTTATCAATGTTAGTTAAAAGTTGTTTCCAGTGTTCTTTTTCGTCTTTATCTTTCTCTGGCCATCATTTTGTGGTAGTAAGATGTTGCCTCAACCTCCGCTCTCCTTGAGTGGAAAAGATCACAGCCTTTCCATTACAGATAATATTTTGAGAAATTGCCTTTGTTTCATTCCAGAGACTTTCGTAAGCACGCTCGGCACTACTGTTGTTGGCTTTCAGTGGGAATACTTTGAGGATGAGGTCTTTCGGTAATATGCTGATGATATCATCTTCCTTAGAATCTAAGAATCTAATTTTGTGAAAGAGACTAATGACGAAAAAACCTTTATCAAATCTTCTAGAAGTCTTGTATGCGTAGTCTGAGTGTTTTCATTGTCCCTAGAGCCAATTCTTGCCATTGGAGCGCTGTTTTGCAGGGGAGTCATGCGAATACTGTAGATGTTGTAACATTTATCGGGGGAGTCGAATAAGCTGAGATCGCCAAGATTGCAAAATTTGGGCACCATAACGTAGTTGAAAAATGAAAAGTTGTCTCTTTGATGAATGTTTGAACGCCAGATCTAATTCCGCTAGAGTTGCGCCTGCATGCCTTGGTGAAGTGATGGTAGTACTTCTACTAATCCGCGTAAGTATCCAAGCTTCTTGTGTGGAACTGTTAGGGGCAACTGTGCTTACCTTTACCTCCGCATGCCTTGGACGTCCACTATGTTAGCCTGCCTTGATACATGCTGAAAGTCTCGTATGCAAGGGTATTAATGCAGTTCCACAGTTGAAAGAAGTGAGCAGGTACCGCAGGTTATAATGCGAACGCTCTGTCCCACTCAGGTAAATGACCGCTGCGTTGCTCAGAAGTACTGCAAACGACTACAGGTTTCTTTAGATATTTGCTTGCTGCTGATGTTTGGTAGATGTGAGGATTATGATATTTGAGGACATGTGGAGCCAGAGAGAGCGATAGTCTTTGTCGTCGAAAGGCAGACCGGATTTGTGTCTTCGCAGAGCAAGAGCTGAGGCTGTATTTGATGGATTACTTTGTATCCCAAGCAACTAGGTAAAAACAGTTAGACATTTGATCGAGTGGTCCGTTGTCTGCATGCGTCAAGTGATCGGGATTTGGAGGTGGCAGAGGAGGAACGGGGCAAGGAAGCGGGCAACGCTGAAGAATCAGCACATAATATTAAAAGTTGCTTCTGCTGTCGACGAACTATAACCAGTGGCAGTTTTGAAAGCAAGGTAAGCTCTTCCAAAGTAATTTATTCTTTTTATAAAACAATAATATATAATAATTATTATAACAGAAAGCTAACCTCCAAGAAGAGTTTTCAGTTTCCTGGGAGGGGCGTGTATACAAAGCGAAGATAAATGAGGAGAAGTTGTACGGGAGAGGAAACATATAGAAAGAAGCAATTAGTCGAAGGAGCTGTGAGGGCGAGACAGAGATGAGCATGAAAAAAGTCATGTAAGCAAGCAGAAGACATGAGAACAAGGATATTTATGGGAGAAAATGGCTTATGAAAGGGGCAACAAACACAATGTGGAGATGTGAGCAAAGTATATTGTAAAAGTAGGGAGTTGATATGGGGGCAGGTGAAGGGTTTGGGGGCGGAGTAGAAACATGCCCCCGAATATACACATCGTCATTCTCTTCCAAATTGCATTCATCTCTACCTTTCTATTCTTTTAGCAATTATTCTGCTTATAACATTGTAACTTTTATGACTATTTCGTATAACGCTTCTACTTGTAAATCCTATATTCAAACAGATGTCTGGGCATGTGTTTACATAAAAAACTTAACACATAAATCTCAATGACGAATTGTGCAACAATAAACGTGTGGAATATTCGAACAGTTTCATTTTATCTTAACTAAAGGTACACCAAGATGACGCCGCATCATGAAAACGAAGAACCGCAATCAACCATTTTCAAATTCTATGTACAACTCATGCTCTAAGCTCCATTCCTAGCAGCCACCAATCCACCAATTTCGAATTCCATGTACAACCACCCAAGCTCTAATCCCCCTCCCCAGCAGCCACCAATCCACCAATTTCGAATTCCATATACAACCCATGCTCTAATCCCCCTCCCCAGTGTAAGGATTCATAATAAGTCCACTAAATCACTTACTAATATCTTATCAAATAAGGGATATATTGATGACTAATACACATATGATATGATCTTATATTATAAAATCATATTATCATATAGTTGTATAATAGTATCTCTTATCAAATTGATTTATAATGGAATAGAATGAAATGGAACTAGATGGAAGTATATAGGAAATCTCGCTAAATTGATTGGTTGTACTTTCTTTTTATTATCTAAAGTGATTCTATAAGATACGATTTAAATCGATCTTATTTATAAGCATGGAATATACTGGAATTTCATTATAAACTATATAAATCTAGAATATTCTTTAAAGGAATTCTAGGAAAAAGCAAGCAATTTCATCTCAACTCAGCCTAGCTCTTCTAAATTGACTTCAATTCAACTCTTATTCTATATATTCGATTTATCCCTACAGCTTTAACTGACTAGATCTTCCACTATCCTTATAATACTATTATTCCTTCTTATTATAAGAGCTAACCTCCAAGACCCAGCAGCCACCAATCCACCAATTTCGAATTTCATATACAACCACCCAAGCTCTAGGCTCCATTCCTAGCAGCCACCAATTCCTCATACTTCTTCATCTTGTCTTCGTAGGCGCTGGCAGTCATGTTATTGAGGTAATCATCTTCCACCAAATCGGCATCAATCGTAAGGATCCGGTTTTTCTCCGCCATGAGCCTGTACATTTGTTGAAGACAAGGGTTCTTCGCGGTAGCAAAGGTACTTGCGTCTGCGATGATGACAAGTCCGGACCGGTGTCTGGTTAGTGCAACAGTGAATCGCTTCGGATCTGATATCCATTTGAACGTAGCCTTTCCCTTACTATAGTTCATCGAAACGGTAAAGTCATAAAAGATGAACCTATGCTCCATCCCCTGGTATGAGTCGGTAGTGGTGACTAGAGTGCCGTCGCAGAGACCGGGAGCGTTAGAGACAGCATCTTGCAGGAGAGCGACTTGATGAAGGTAAGGGGTGAGAATGCAGACCTCATCTGGTTGGATGGTGGGGTTCGATTCTAAAAAGTCCAACACCAGGTTCACAGTTAGGTTTGCCGAATAGGTGTTTCCGGTGCTGGTACCGCCGATCTGTATGTATGAGAAAGAACCGCGCAAATCGAAGAGGATGGGATAGGCGAGGTTGTCAGGTGCATCTGTGACTGATGTGCGAGGGACTACCCCTCTCCACATGTCATGGCCGATCTGGTTGTACGACCATTTCTTAAATGCCAAGCCAAAGGGTGACAATGTGGCTGTCGGTAGATGGGAAACCAAGTTCTTGTAAGTAATAGTATCAGTAATGAATGAGAGGCCTGGTTCTATTCTCCTCTGGATGGAGAGCATGTAGACGGGGTACCCGGACGCCTGCAATTGGCCGAGAACAGATTGCGAGACGTGACCTGCAAATGCGTTCACCGCACGCTTAGTATCCTCATACTTGACATTGCTGGAACCTGCGTATGGGGGTATCTGCTTCGTATCTCCAACAATCGTAACGTTGACGCCGTCGTGAATGGTGATGAGTGTCTCAGTTGTTGGGATGCATCCGCCCTCGTCTTGCATAACATGATCGACACGGTCGAGGAATCTTCGTAACAATTTTTGGGTGGCAGCGATAGTGATACAAGACACTGTGTCAGCATTGGTTAGGACATCGACGGCGGCTGCCTTCAGATGCTGGTTGTACTCGAGCTTCACGTCATCATAGCTTAAACCTTTCTCATTCGGACCAAAACCTTTGAAGTCGAGTAGAGCCTGAATGGCAGCCTTGAAACCGGTGTGTCTGGGGCGCAATGCAAGGATGGTGGGGTTATCCGTCTTTAACAAACCAACGAGCTCACAGAGACGCTGTGCTAAGCTGCCATTGAAGCCGAACAGTCTCTCACGTGCAGTTGGACTCTCCCTGGCAATGTACTGCTGCTTACCATTGACGATGAATCTCTTGAACTCGGCAAATTCCAAGTGCTCTGAGTGGAGGCGTATGTGGAGCCATTTTTTGTGACCAAGGGTATGCATCATCCTCGTACATATGTTGGTAGTCGCGCAGTTGGTTGTAGAGACGATGAGAACTTTCTTGTTTGCCGTTAGCGCCAACTCAATCAACACAATTGTAAGGGTGGTTTTGCCGGTTCCGGCCGGTCCAACGACGAGCAACAGTCCACAAAATACTTCCTTTAACAATTCTGGTAGGTGTCTACGTTCTGATTCACCACATTGTGCAAGAATTCGTACCACCTCACGCTCGGGGAGTCCGTATGTGTAGTCAGTGCACCTACCGCTCCAGGTGTCCTGGAGACCATGTCCCATGAAAAGATCTCGGAGAGAATTGTATCTGCGAATAGGGGCCACATACTGTCCATAACCAAGGCGAGCTAGAACCCCATTAGTTTTTTCGTCGTCGTCGTCGTCATCATCATTTCTGAAGTCAGAAATCTCCTCTCTACCAAAATCACGCTTGTAATTTTTGGGGTTAGCGCCGACGTCTTCGGACGCCGGCTTGAGGGGAGGAGCTGGTGGCTTGTAGGAGGGGGACCACTTAGCCAAGGCGGAGATTCTGGCCTTTACAGATTTGATGGACTCATCGAGGCGTAAGTAGACAGTTGTGGTGGGAGCCTTGGATCGGATCATTGGGGATGTGTTGGGCAACCATGGCTCTGCTTCGATGACCAAGTCGGCATCCGGTTGGGTTGGACCGGGTCGGGTGACAATCATTAGATGTGTTCCGGGGTGGACGATCCGACTATTGTTGACGATGGTACCTTTCCATCCGTCCTTCTCCTTGGCTTCTTGTTCGAGTTTCTTGCACTTCGCAACTTCCAGGTTCTTTTTTGGTGCAAAATGTACGAAAATCTCTGCTTCAATAGTGAAGAGCGAGGTGCCTTGAATGGTTAGGTTGGGCAGGATGAACGACATATAGAATACCTCGTTGTGTTTATCACCACAGAACTGAGCGAGGATCGGGCAATTTCGTAAGAGAGTGGCGTACTGTAAGATCCAAAAGGTCTCTTGGGTTGTGCCGATGAAATTCCGAATCGAGAAATCAGCATATCCCTCATACTTCTGAACGGTGGGGTAGAAGTCTGGATGATCGACCATGTTGGGATGGTTATTGGCGAGCTGACTCAATCTCTGGACATCCCAGGTGAGACTGCAATTTATTAGAAGTTTTGAACATAGCTTTGATGAAGAAGGAAACTTACTCTGGCTCAGTGTGGTTATCTCCCGTCTTGGTATATTGTGGAAACAATTTGCCGGTACCTACAGAACCAAAAGCGTAACCAATGTTGTGAAAAAGATTAACCCAGTGATCTTGGAACTTAGTATAAAAGAACAACTTTTTGGCGTTGGCACCAGTGGCCAGATGGCAGAAACCTGCATGAGCGTCTCGGTGAGCTTCAATGACTTGTGCGTTGTTGAGGATGTTGGAAATTGGTGGTGATCGACGATCCGTAATGGTGAAGCGCATTGCGATGATTTTATCGAAACTGCCAAAGTCAACATTCCCAGATTGCGATATGATTGACATCTCTGCGGGTGTCAAGAGCTTGTAAACCAAGGAGAAGCGGCCACAGAGATAACTTAACGACATTGCATGGAAATCTGGATTTTCATCGAGGTAGGTATAACCAGATTCTTCGCGAGGTTTTCGTTTGAGGGTCAAGTTAATGTCAAGGTGTGGGTGGCCGTGTAGTGGAACGTGGAAGCTGAGATAGACCTTCGGTTGATTGACAATGTGTTTGTTCTTACCAATTGTACCTATGACAGTGTTGAGGGAGTTAGAAGGGGAGGGGGGACATCTTAGGACACCACACCATTGTTCGCTTCGCTTTTTAGTGCCCGGGTGTTCTCCTGGTAGTTGGTCGATGTCGTTTGGTCGGTATCTGGTGTTGACAGTAACTTCGTCAAACCCGATGGTATGGGATATATCGGTGGTTGCCATGGCGATGGAAGTGAGAGTAATGTTTTGAGAAAGGTAGAGTAAGGAAGGTGTACACGGATAGGTAGAGGTAGGTATGGTAATACAAAGGGGATGTAAAGAGAGAAGAAGAAGAAAGGTGGAGGAATTGAGAGGATATGAAAGGAAGAGAAATTAAATTTGGGAGAGAAAACCGGTCTTTAAATAATAATTCTGACGAGGTCCGTGCTAGCGAGAGAAGCGGCCAGTTGCTGCAAATGTAACAAACGTGACAAAGGTAACAAACATGGCCTGAAGTTGAATAGCTTCACGTTTTGTTGGTGGTTGTAGTGGTTTGCGACTTGTTTATGGCTTTATTGTTTAAAAAAGTGAGTGTTTACTCTGTCTTTCTGAGTGGAATGGTGGGGCCCCAATTTAAGCGAGGTTGTCCCAAATGCATGCAGTTATTTTAATGGTGAAGGGAGTATGAGCGAAGCTTTGTGCTAACAGATTACGAATTAAACTCATTGCTGGTAAAGAGCTGGATCCTATCGAAAGACTATATTTGGATACTGGAAAAGATGGACATTACTCTAAATAGTATAAGAGAATCGTGCCAAGCGTATGAGTCTTTGGATGGACCTTGGGCATTGAGCCATTTAAGGGAGAACCAACCATGAGAATTGACCGTAAAATGACTTTTGATTCGATCGTAAGATCAGAATTATAGTCTGCACTTGCAATGTTTGTGGGAACGATAGATTGCTTCATGTAAATCGACCAACATCGTCATGATAAGTTGCAACTATAGTGAGGTGTGAATGTCTCCTTGATTCTCAGAAGCTTCCCAAGTATTGCATGAGCTTTGATAGCAATATAGAGGTAGCAAAACCTAAATAGAAAATCATCACTATCGATCCTTATTCTCTTCCATTGTTGACTTTCAGTCTCATCTTTCTCCGGTGTCCATCTAACAACAGAAAGGTACTGTCTCAATCTTCGACATCCTTGGGTGGAAAAATTGACTAGCTAACTATAGAAATAATAGACCTACAAACTACTCTTGCCACTTTCCACACAAGTTTGAATCCTATGAAAGAATCCATTATAGCTTTCGGTGGAGGCACTCCAAGCATTAAACTAACCGCGGCCAAAAAAGTGATATCTCAGATCGAGCTCAATTTCCGTTATCTCTAAATAAGAATATTAGAGAGATGCACCATGGATTCAGCGCTTACAACCATTAAACCCGATTGCTCTTTGGAAGGTATAATCCATGAGCACTTAGATCTAAAAGATGCAACTCTCCATCAGCGGTTAGCGGCACCGTTTTATGATATTCTCAACAGAAGTCTTACTTGAGCGCTTAATGGAGGGTTTAATCTCTCCCGATCTGAAAGTGAAAGTGGGCCATGATAAAACGCAAAAGCACCACTACACACACGCTTATAGATTGCATTCGAGATTAATTTTCACTAATTGTACAGGTATGCGTTTCTCTGGAGTATCCTCTACAACAGTTTGCTTCTCTCCTCATGTAAGATGATTAATTTTCAAATTCCAAATGGCGAAAGAATAAATGCCAAAAAACTTATCAGCATCATGTTGTATCACAACTATTACCACAATAGCAAACATCGAGTAAATGACATACAGATAGATTTCGATATTCCAGACAATTAAGAGAGATTATTGTGCGGTTATTTTAAAATATTATAGGAAGTGTGTGTGAAGATGAACATCGTGATGAATTGTGAAAATAACACTCGCTTTATCACTCATATAAGACATCGACTATCAAAGGCGAAAGCTTGACACCCAGCGTATCGGAACTTATATCAAAAGGAAATCATAAAATGGATTGGGATAACACATCACAAATTACTATAAAGACTTTGACACTGGTCCGCATCGCCACAAATTTGATTCAGCCGCTCATCAAGTGTTTTGCCTTCAAATCCGTAGTAGCTCTACATGCACCTCTAAAATCTTGATATTGATTCAAAGATTATTTGAGCAACAAGACTTCGTGATCTGGATACGTGGAGATGATAGCAATCCTCTCAGAATATGTACTAGACAACTATATTTCCTTGCTTGCTAAATCTTGTTTGCCTTGTCATTCTGTGAGGCATCACTAGATTAGCTTCGATGTTGATTTGGCACTCTCTAATCTGTGTTTTCAACACGCACTGAATATTGAGAGCTTGCTCTTTAGGGGCATGCTTATCAATAAGCTTGGTGATAGAAAGATACGAATGGTTGCGGATGCGGGTGCGGGATTGAATTGAGCCAACGCCGATTATTCAATACAATCGGACCTCTTGGTTTCCGGGATGGCAGATATTTCAACGACAAGTTGAGAATCGGCTCCATATGCGCCAGTATCTGCGACTTATCTTAGAGTTTTTTTGGTCGACTTGAACTTGCCGTTGGCGACGGTGGTTTCATGAGCGGATTTTGTTTACGAGTAAGGGATTCCGGTCTGAGAGCGACACTTCCGCGAGACACTAACTGAATAACTCGAAGAAGGAAAACGTGATGATAGGGAGATTGGAAAACTCTCAAGTGGGGATTCTGCAGTCTTGTAGAGGGGAATATAGTTATGCAAGTTGGGTTTGATCAATCTAAGGATTCTTGCAGAAAAGACTCACATGATAATCAGGTTCCTAGCACAGAAAGTCGACGAATCAAAGAGAGGAGACAAGAACTCACAATCCCTTCAAACGCTGATATTATTGAAGTTCTTGATCGCTTGTTCTTATGGGACAATCAACAAGGAAACTTTCTCCATCATTGTCCCAAGGGAACTTCCTCTACCCACTAAATTCCTCGCTTCTTGATTTGAAGCTGGCCGTGGGTCAACAAAAGGGTTAAGTGGCTCTGAATCATATTGATGATGATATTTCATGTCGCACGTACAGTTGAATTCTTTAGTGAGTCATGACCGGTACTGTGCATTAAGTTCCTTATACAAGGAAACGCCAAACGTCGAAATGGGGTTTCACGCCGTCTTCAGGAAACTGATGGTTCATTAATTTGCTGCTGAATCTTCATGCAGAAGCAAGGTTGAAGACGGGACAAGAGATTTTGAGGCAAAAATAGTAAGAAGCACTCAGTTCTACCAAGTGAGTCGAGAGCATCATCTATGGTGTCAGTGAAGATGCCCTAGTCTTTCAGCTCAGATAGTTGGAAGTCTAGCAACTTTTCCCAAAAGATGATTGTTTCAGTGAAGGAGGTCGAGATAAAACTGCCTGTAGCTGTTATTACACTTCTGTAATTAGAACATGGAGTTTCTGCTGGCACTGATGTCGCATAGAGCTGCGCATTAACTTGATTTATATTGATATGATAATGGAGTTGGTATATCTGCAAGAGCAAGCTTCAAATCATCATCGGCTGCGCTACAACAATCCGCTATGGGTTATAGTTCTTTTCATATCTATGTTAATCAATGAGTCGACAAGTTTTAGACACTTTGGGGATGGGTACGTTTTCGGTCGGGGCGTCTTGAGATTGTGACTAGAGACTTGAAGCTTTTTTTGAGACAGCTTTCATATTAGCAGCGTCCTTGTGATTGAAACCATGATCAAAACAGACGCGTCGGATGGTGTGATACGCCGAGTCCTTTCTCGAGATATGGGGACGGTCAATGGCTCCCTATGGCGTCTCTAGCCAGGGTCCCCGAGAGATCGGGTGATATCTGGCTTTCCAAGTAGCACCTACAAATTAAGAAATCCATATCAAAATATAATCTACTTAGGCGCCTATACATAGAGAGTCTTTAGGAGACCCTTCAGGTCTCCTATACGTGATATCTATAACCCCAGGGGTTAGATTGGGCTTAGCGCAATACTTACGCGACACGCTAATCCCAATTTCGGTCCTTTGAAATTGATATGATAAAATTATAATTTTTTTTGGCTTCCCTAGCCTCCTACATCTCCGACACCACACATTCGATTTAAAAGAGATTATTCGATCTGGAAGATAGTAAGCATTAATCTGTTTGGAACTTATGACATAACTAATTGATTCTAGTGGCTCATGAAAATCGCGGATCCCTAACACCCTACTACCTGGTATTATATGTTTTACTGGTATCACAAAATATTTAGGGTTTTTAGGGTTAAATTAGGGTATATATATATATTTTTAGAATCTACGAAAAATTTGGGATTGAATGGTGTCTTTCTTTTTTTGCTAGTGTTATTTCTTATTAAGTTCTATTTTTAGGGTTTCAATTGGTATTACAAAATATCTTGCTTAATATTGGAGTTAGTTTATTAAAAATAACTTTTTTGAACTTTTTAGAAAAAACTGAGTTGATAGGTATAGTTTTTTTTTGAATCGGGTTTAGTTCATTTTTGATTTAGAAAAATACGATTTTAGGGTTTTTTAGAAAATCTTAATTTTTATTTATAAGCTTAAATAATAATAATTTCGAAAATCTTGTTATATATTATTATAAATAGAATCAAAAACTGAATATTTTAGTGTAATTTTTATTATATAAATATTAAATTTCATTTTTTATTTTTCAATTTTACTGGTATTACTAAAACTCAACTGGTATTACAAAATATCTTATGTAATATTGGAGTTAGTATAATAATAATATTATTTTTGAAATCCTAACAAAATTTTGAATTATATAGCGTTTTTAAAAATTTCAAAAAATAGATTTTCAAATTCGTTATGTGATTTTCACATAACCTAGGGTTAGGGTTAGGGTTAGGGTTAGGGTTAGGGTTAGGGTTAGGGTTAGGGTTAGGGTTAGGGTTAGGGTTAGGGTTAGGGTTAGGGTTAGGGTTAGGGTTAGGGTTAGG